AATTATTAATTTGAATTTGTATTTGATTTGATTTTCAAATCGAATATTCAAATATCAAATCGAATTGCGGAACCCTACTATCAGGTAAGGAGCAAATTTCTACAAGTATTTTTTCCATTTCTATTATTAATAATTCAGATTATTGTTGTAATTTAGCAAAAATATTCTGTTCTGAACTTGTTAAAGATCTGTATCGCTGTTTATTACTAACCTCAAGATCTTTTTTAAAATAAAAAAAATCAACAATATTTTATTTTTATTGTTATGTTATTATTATCATTATCGTTATTATTTTATAATTACTTTACTTTATAGATAATGATAATTTTACCTTTTGTTATTATTTCTTCACGTATATCAACATCAATATTAATTTGATTTTGTCTATCTAAATTAGATATTATTCTACTTGACTGTACTATTTTTTCATTTTTTCTATTTATTTTTTCCTGTTCTTTACGATTTTTTTCGTTGTTCAGTTGTGATTGTTTTAATATTTTTAATACGACGTCCTTTTGTATTATGAGAAACACTTTTTTCAATTTCTTGCGCATGAATACTTTTAAGTTGTTCGATTCCTTTTTCATAACAGGTAAGTAGATTTTCAAATCCATTTATGTTATTTTTAGTTGTATCCTTGAATATTTCATGATTAGTTGAATCTGCAAGATTAAATGCATCGGTGAGCTGATTAACCAAATTCTAAAGTGACTCCTTACGAGATTTAATAACACGATCATTCCGAATAAGAATTTCCTCTCCAACATATTCATTTAAAAGAATGTCTAACCTTTTTCGTTCAGATTGAATTGAACTTATTCTTTGTTTTAGATTTTCACAATTCCCTGGATTTTTTCCAATATTTTGCTTTACATACTTTACTCCAAATCTTTCTAACACCTCATCAAAAGCAAAAAAATGACCAGGATTGGTAAGATTTATAGAGCAAACAATGGTTGGAGTGATGGATCTTCAAAAATATTATGAAGAAAATGAGTGACAGATCTTGCGTAATTACTTTTTCCTGCTATTGAAAAAAGTGGTACGAATGCAATTAAATTTTCAAATTGCATATGATAGTGTTCATATCGAATTCTGATTTTGTGTCCAATCCAATATCCACACCAGCAAAAATATAAATACCAAACTTTCATTATACTATTATTTTCAATTTTGATATCATTAAATGTTTTGCCTTTATTTTTCATAATTTTATTTAATGCAATTCCGATTGCAACCCATATTAATTCTAAGACCTGACATGTTGTTTAATAATCAATGACTTTCTCCAATTTATCCAAATAACGGACGCCAATATAAGCTGCCATATTAAAGATTTCATACCCTGAAAAAATGGTAATTAATGTATTACACATTTCCTTACTGGTGTGCCATGCGTCAAGCATAAGTCAAATTTCAGGTTTTTGTTCAGAATAAGATATTAAACGTCGAAAAATAGCTTCGTCGCATGCTACATCTATATATTTATTATTTACATTTTTTGGAGCAACATCATGAAAATACATGTTACATGGATCATGTACAGCTTCATTATTGCAAGGATTTTCACTAGGTTCCAGTATAACTATATTAGGTGGTGGAACTCTACATCCTATTTCAATTTCTTTAACCAGTTCTTTATAAACTGTTTGTATATCAAAATCTGTTTCTAAAGTTTGCAAAAGAAAATAAATTTTATTTTCAAAACTTTGGATTTCATTTTCTGTAAATTGGGAAAAACCAATTCTAAATGGTTGTTTTTTTTTAAAACTTGCATTAGTTATAATTTGATGAATTGGAATTAGTAAATTGAACTGAAATACCATTCGTAAAGTTGCATGTGATGTATTTTTGAGTAACATTATAGATATTTCTATATGCAAAAGCCCATTCTTTAAAATCTATATTGTCTATGACTAGTGTTGCTGTCCGAAACTAAAATTCCATAGTTTAGAATTACCGAAACTAGTTTTATTTAACTGAAACTAATTTTTGGTAGTTTAGGATAGCATCCTTATCTATGACACAAATGTTCCATATGTTTTCTCCCTGTATTAATCTTTCTTCCAGTTTAATTCTATCAATTCTATCCTTCTCTAATCTTCTTTCATGACGTTGCGTATGTGAAACTACGCTTGCAGTACATAGAATTGTATATAATGAGCTTAATAAGTTTGGTTTTCGATATAAGAAACTCATAATATGAGTAAGCCATATGTCAACACCTGGAAATACAATTGATAAAATCATAGAAATGATAAAAATTGATATTTTATTTGAACGTGCTTCATCAAAACTCTTTGCTGACAATCCTCGTTGTTTACGTTTTTTCTCTGTAATTTCAAACTATTTTTTTTGTAATAAAGTTATAAATCCACCAAAAAAATCTTTTAAAATTATAGGAAATCCACATTGGTATTCTTCGAGTGATTGTGGAATTTCAAGATTTTGTTTTTTTTATGAACTTCAGAGCGTGCTTTCCAAACACATAATCCAAATACTTCTCCTACTCTTTTTGGATTTTCATTTAAAAGATTACTAATTGAATGTTCTTCCTTTAACTTTTTTATATTTATTTTTCCTATTCGTAATATAGTCTTAACTAAAAATAAATTCAGAGGTATTTCATTAATACTATTATTATTATCGTTATCGTTATCATCATTTTGTTTTACATTTTCAAAGATTTTAACAAGAATTGTACTAATTTCTATTAATAAACTATTTTTAATTCTATTATTAGTTGAATCGGCTACATCTAAGATCCATCTACCTAATAATTTTAATGCATTTGTAATATCATGAATATGATTTTCATAATATGAAAAAGCTTTTGATCCACTTCCTCTTCGTTTAAAAAAATGTCCTCCTTCTTTTTGAAAACATTCTGAGCATATTTAAAGTGCATTTTCATTTATACTAGCTTCTTTAACAATCCTATCATTTTTAAAACTTGAACAAACTTGAAGTCCTACATATAGCACCTGCACATTTCGATTATTAATGCTTATTAAGTGTTCTGCACAATTTTTGCCACGACTAAAAAAATATTTGTCTTTATAACAAAAAAGACAACGACGTCGACAAATGTAACCTTCACCTACTAACCGTAATTGTTTTGAATTTTTCCTATGTAATCTATTTTGATCAAAAGACAAATATGCCATGCAAATACCTAAAGTATATAGTATACTTTTAGGATTTGTTTGGTTTATTACAGCTTCATCGATCTCCCATATTCCTATTAACTGATGAAGAGAACGGAGAGCATGTCCTGGTTTTTCATAATTTGAACAACGTTTTACTTGTCCATTAAATACATCAACTAAAACATATAGAACTAGGTTTTTATTTTCTATATCGGCATCGATTATTTGAAAGTCTTTATCTATGTTAGAACTAGCTGTTGTTGAGACAAAATCTTTTTCAACATCTATATTGATATCTTCCCACGTTATGTCTTCATCATTATATTCACTTAAAATAACTTTTTCTTTGGCATTTTGAAATGCCTCATGATCAAATAAAAACTCATGAATACAACTATCATCATTGGTAAATGTGGCGGGTGTTGAAGGAATTTTGCTTGTATTATCAGAAATACTGTAATCATCATTTTCTAAAAACGAATAATTTTTGTTTGGATCATCATATTCTAACTCACTGCCGATATAATTAGCAAAAGAACCTTTATTCAAAAAACACATATTTTCATTTTCAAAAGGCATGTTAAAAAAAATTATAATAATTTTTAATTTATCAATATGAAAAAGAAGGAGAAAGGTAAATGTAACGGTAACGGTAAAGTTTATTCACTTTTTTATATGAAAATACATTATATTGCTGTTCCTTATCATTATCATTATCATCATTGAGGCATTACAAACATGTATAACGATAAGTGTCAATATCAATATCAAATATCAATATAATTGCTATCATTATGATCGGATCAAGATAAGATAAACAAACATCTTAATTAGGTAAACATCTTAATTGGATAATAACAAAAAAATGTTAACGTTAACGCTACGTTAAAGATCAATTAATAAATTAACGTGATAACTAATCATACTTCTTGAATATAACTGATACATTATGAATTGACTGGCTTTTTTATCATTAAAGATTATTTAATTCTAATATTAGTATAAATATACAGAACACAAATTCTTTCATATTTTTTCCTAGCATAAAAATAACACAATATATAACGATAAATTCTCATCGTCGTTGAATTTATTTTCATCATACGAAAAATAATGAGTTGAATGCGTTATTTTTGAAGTCCAGAATGAGATTGCAAATCTATGATAGGCAAATAAATTATCATTATTGAAAATTCACATGAAATTATACAAAAGATTCTTTTTAATCAAATATTTACCATTACAAAAACCAAATTAATTACAATAAAAGATTGATGGCGGTTGATCCTTGATAGTTCCAAGGACAATTTATCCGCATTTACTTAATTAACCAGAGAAAATCCAAAAAAAAATTTATTAGTGTTAGAAAAAAAACTAACCTTTCTAAAATAATTTAAAAATGATTATCAACTTTTTCATATCTGTTATAATGCCTCTTTTGTGCTATCATATAGTTAATTTTAGAGGATCCTTTTGATAAATTTTATCAAATGCATTTTTCAATGCAATTACACTTCTGTGAAGTCGCGAATCTAACCTTCACTTACATCATCTCGATAAAAAATCTTAGAAGAACTCTATTCTTCTCATAGAATGCTTTCAATAGATCAGATATATTCGTTATAAATTTGTTTGTTAACACTCACTCTATCATAATATGTTATTGCTCTTGATGCGTAAATTGCTGCAATGTTAAGTTAATTCTTCGCCCAATTCCAGGATGAGAAATATCTACTTCAACGGTCATTGTCTAAATGAAACAAAAAAAAATAAAAAGATAAAAACACAAAATTACAAAATTACAAAATTATAACGACGATAATATTTCAAAACTAATTTCAAATTACTTTAATATCGATATCGATATAATTACAGAGATATCTCATATAATTGAAAATTCATCTTTAATGATTTTTAATCCATTATTCTAAAGCAATATATCGATATTGTATATATCAAAATCATCTTACTATGGCGTTCCTAACATTCTCAAAGGTCATAAAAACATAAAAATAATATTTTTTATTTGAACACTTTGAAGGAAGATCATTTTAAGGTTATGACTGCTACAGTATTTATTGTTATATTTGTTCTGAAAGCCAACCTAAAAGTATATTTTTTCTTAATAGTGTAAAGAGGGTTAATTTGTTACATTCTTGAAAAAAACAAAACGAAGTAACGCATTATTTACTTTTTCCTTATGAAAAAGTGCATTTTTTATACTGGTCGATCATGTCAACCCCTATTAAAAAAATTAAATCTCAATTTTTGGGGACAAAATCTTGTGTCTGTTAAATTAGCGCAGTAACGCAAAAGGTATCATTCTTGATACATTTGTCGCAGTAACTAATCGATATATTTTGTATATAAATAATATCGATATGACCAAATATAATAGATCCAACCGAAAAAAGACAGACATACAACTTTTTTTTTATCATTTGTAAAAGATTATTATTTATTTTTAAATATCAATATCAAATAATGTAAATCAATAATGATAACGATAAGGATAACGATAAATAATAATTTCCTATTTCATAAAATATTATCGCTCAATATATTTGTTTTAAGAATCTGTATAACGATAATAAATTTAAAGTATAACAATAATATAATTATAGGTCTAGCAAGTTATATCGATATGAAATCTTTTTAGAGTTAATCTAGAATCTAAAAATTCATCATATTCGACTTCTATTCATATCGACATCAATAAAAATTAATAAAAATTCTTTTCCATCAATAATAAAAGATGAACATTTGTTTAACATTTAACATCACTTTATAGCTTTAAAATTACCTTTAGAAGGTGCTTCCCTCCTACATTTAATAAATAATGAGTTACTTATATTCTATAAAGTTTGAAAATTTTTAAGTATGACATTTCCATTTGAAATACGTTCTTTATGATTAATGTTAAAGTATCATGATAACGATAGCGATAATGGCAATATCAGAACTGGAATATTGATATATAAAATTATAATAATAAAGTTAGCGTTAGCATAAAAAATGTGCAAGTCTGATAACGTATTTAAATAAGTTTGTCTCACTTTCTGTCTTTTTAGCAAAATACAAATTCATTATTCATCAAAGTATAAGGTTATTACTTACGTTTAATCCAAGCATTTTAACTTTGACAGATAAATCAAGAATGACAGGTAAATTCTTTTCTCCTGATGGCGCTATCCAATTGCCAAGAGATATTTCTTTTCAATTAGGTCCATTTCTTCCCATATTATATCAACGCCATCATATTTATTTAAGTTAGCTCTTTCTTTAAAATTTTGGAATACTTAATAACCAAACGACATCATCACTATCATTTGTAATAGGTGTTATCAGAATTTCACTTCTGTTGTCAGCCATATAATTTTAAAATTCATTCTAAAGCAAAATATTGTTTATATCAGAGTCATCTTTACTGTTTATCGTTATATAGTCTGTTAACAAGCAACCTCGTTCTCAAATGTTATAAAAACATATTTTTTTGAACACTTTGAAGGAAGATCATTTTAAGGTTATGACTGCTACAGTATTTATTTTACTATTTGTTCTGAAAACCAACCTAAAAGTATATATTTTCTTAATTGTATAGAGATGATTATTTTGTTACATTCTTGTAAAAAAACGAAATGAAGTAATGTATTATTTGCTTTTCCTTATGAAAAAGTGCATTTTTATACCGTATTGATCATGCTGATCCCTTATTAAAAAAATTAAATCTCAATTTTTGGGGACAAATCTTATGTTCGATATATAATTTATATATAATTATTCAAAAAGTTGATACAAGGCTAACTTTTGTGTTGTTTAAAATTTTATTGTGAAA